AAAATCCAAAATCTTTACTAGGTGAATCAAGGCTCTCAGTAAGCCAGCTGTGCATACCTAGGCAACCTCTTCTCACACCCTCCTCTGCAGTGATTTTACAGTGTTTCCAATTCTCTGAATGCACCTGCATGCTCTCAGCCTGAATTTGATTTCCCACCCTCGTCCCATTTCTCTGCTGCCCCAACTCCCAGTCTTCCTTCTTTTGGCTCAGGAGGACAACTTTGTCTGCCTTTCTCTGCTCGGCTTCCCCAACACTCTGTGTTAATCACAGTTTTCCACACTGTACTCTAAGTGTTTACCTCCCTTGAACCCACATAGATCTGGACGGGCTTCAGCACCCTGCCGACTACTTTGCCTGACGCAAAGCTGACACTCAAATGTTTGTTGAGTATGCAACTTCTGAAACTCCCCGATTTTGGCTAGGTTTTGCTCTATACCTTATGTTAGAGGGGACAAAGGAGCTGGGCTGCTGGTGCTCAAGGCCTGTGCTGCTTCTCCAAGTGGATGAAGATTTGTCTTTAACATGGCACATTTATGAGTTATATGTTATATGGTAACTTAGTTCCTCTGAATAATGATCTGTTTAGAAATATTTATCACTAACAAAAAGGATAATTTTACTTGTCAAGGCAATAACATGTGCTTTTAATATATCTAGATCAATTAGGAATAATTAAAAATCTCAATTTTTAAAAAAAAGACCAATCTTATAAAGTGCTAAATTTGCATTAGTGTTCAGCTATTTCATAACATGTGAATGGTCCAAATTGGATGAGTCACAGAAATACATATAAGATATATTCCTCTCTAAAAATGTGTTTATGGCATGCTTCTTTCCACGCTATATGGTGTGTTTTATTGAAACTCAAGATTAGTTCTCAATTTAACATGATACTGTATATACAAAGAAAGGCTCCAAAATTGTTTGGTAAACAGCATTCTTCTATATTCTAAAGCTGATGTTTGCACATGTAGCACACCAAGGAGAATAAGCAATTAAACAAACTAGAAAAAGTCTTATTTCTTTTTTTTGTTTTTGTTTTGTTTTTGTTTTTGTTTTTGTTTTGCGGTATGTGGGCCTCTCACTGTTGTGGCCTCTCCCGTTGCAGAGCACAGGCTCCAGATGTGCAGGCTCAATGGCCATGGCTCATGGGCTTAGCCGCTCTGTGGCATGTGGGGTCCTCCCGGACCGGGGCATGAACCCGTGTCCCCTGCATCGGCAGGCGGACTCTCAACCACTGCGCCACCAGGGAAGCCCAAAAAGTCTTATTTCTTCAACTCGACCAGTAAGTACCTGAGGTCAGAGGCTTTAAGTATATTCCACTGTCTAGCATAAAGAAACAAATCCCAATTTGTAAAATGACATAACTGCAAAGGTAAGCATTACTGTGACTTAAGTTGTTTATAACTGTTGCTAATATACCTATCCAAAAACGGAGGATTAGTTAAGGAAATTACATTATAATTTTTAGAATATAAGGCAGACAATAGGAGTTTTGGAAAATACAGGTGAAAAATGCTTACTATGTATTATAAGGAAAACACAATATACTAAAATTCTATATGTAGTAGGATGTAGGAAAACATGCATTTAAAAAATGAGAGAGGGGACTTTCCTGGTGGCGCAGTGGTTAAGAATCTGCCTGCCAATGCAGGGGACATGGGTTTGATCCCTGGTCCAGGAAGATCCCACATGCCACAGAGCAATTAAGCCTGTGCGCCACAACTATTGAGCCTGCATGCCACAGCTACTGAAGTCCGTGCGCCACAACTACTGAAACCCGCACGCTCTAGGGACCATGTGCCACAACTGCTGAGCCCGCGTGCTGCAACTACTGAAGCCGCGTGCCTAGAGCCCGTGCTCTGCAACAAGGAAGCCACCACAGTAATAAGCCCGCGTTCCGCCACAAAGAGTAGCCCCCGCTCGCCGCAACTAGAGAAAGCCCACGCGCAGCAATGAAGACCCAACGCAGCCAATAAATAAATAAATAGAGAGAGACAAAGGTAAAATGGCAAAATATTTAGTCTGGTCGACTCACACTCAGGGGGTCAAAACTCTCTTCTTGGCTCGCCAATCTCACCGTTTTGGTACCTCCTTCCAGTTTTCTTTTCTCCTCTCCTCAACCCTCCCCAAACACAGCCAATTCTTCCTCGACAATGCCTCTCAGGATTAGTCCAGGCCCACATTACCTTATACAGAGGTTTTGAGAAAAGATTCCCATTTGGCTTTTCTGCAGTCTCATTCAACTATCATATCTACTGCCAGAAGAAGACAGTCATTCTACTGCTAAATATATATCTACTGTGGTAATCTCTTCATTTATGTTTTATGCATTTTTGTGTATGTGTTATATTTTTCAATGAAATTGGGTTTTTCTTGTAACTCTGTGTGGCTTCATATTTTGTTTGGCTAGGATGCGGTTAGGATTCATGGCTCTCTGCTGATATGGCCCTACTTCCTTACCCTTCTAAATGGAATGTTTAGCCAGGGTAGCTGGGTTCCTATCTGCAGCAATGGAGTTGGCAGAGGCTTCCCTGCCCGTCCTCTACAAAGCCTGCCAGGTCCCCCACGTCTACCAACGCATCCTTAACACCCTGTAAAACCCAGCTTAAAAATTTCAAAAAGGTTTCCACCATTATTCAACCCACCCAATATATGCTACATTAATTCATCTTGCATCATATTCTGCAAACATTTATCAAGCAACTACTAGTTGTAAGGCTTGAAGAGTTAAAGTCTTAAGTTGTTAACAATCTTTCTGTGGACCATGAACATTTATGAAAGAAGCTAACCAACAGTAAAAAGAAAAATGACATAAGTGATAAATGAATGTTCAGGAGTAGGGAAGAGGGAGGCTGGTGAAGAGGAGTAGGGAACGGGGGTGAGAATGAGGAAGGCTAGAAGGAAGAGACAAGGTAAAAGCTGACAGAAGAGGTTTCATGATTAGGAGAAGTGTGATGTGAGACTTGACTGCTGTTTTGCACCTGGGTGCCTACAATAAAAGGGAGGGAGGCTGACATAAATGATGCTAACTAGAAATGCTTTGGGGCAAAGCAGGGCAAGTCCAAATGGAATATTACAGTATGCACTGACATATGCTACACTAAAACTGAATAAGATACATGGAAAGCACAGAATCTTTTTTTTTCTTTTTTTTTTTTTTTTTTGCGCGCAGGCCTCTCACTGCTGTGGCCTCTCCCATTGTGGAGCACAGGCTCCGGACGCGCAGGCTCAGCAGCCATGACTCACGGGCCCAGCCGCTCCGCAGCACGTGGGATCCTCCCGGACCGGGGCACGAACCTGCGTCCCCTGCATCGGCAGGCGGACTCTCAACCACTGCGCCACCAGGGAAGCCCCCAGATACACGGAAAGCACAGAATCTTTAAGTGGGTAAGTAGCACTGATAACCTGAGTAACAAAATTCTATGAAAAGAAAATCTAAATGAGTACAAAGTCACACAAGAAGGAAAAGAAGGACCTGAGACTGAGAGCCTAGTCAGTGAACATGAAAAAGCACAGGACTTCAAGAAAGTAAGGATGAAGAAAGGAACTCTAGGTGAGGCAGTATGCACAGTGGTTAATAGCCTCAACACTGGACCAGGGCCCCTGAGTTGGAATCTCCTCCTGCTACTTGTGCGTCCTGGGCAAGTTCCCGTGTCTCAGTTTCCTTATCCGTAAAATGATAATGTTATCATTTATTTACCCCCATAGGATTGTTGCCAGGATTAAAAGAGTTGATACAAGTTCTTAGAACAGTGCCGGGCACAGAAGCATTCGATAAATGTCTGCCATCGGGGGGAAAATATTTTTTTAATCGTCGGTGACCTTGAGGAGAACAATTCCTGGCCAGTGGTAGAAGCAGAAACTACAAAATAAGGGAATTAACAAACAAGTGATGGCTAAGAAGCCGGAGGCAACCCCAAAGTATCGAAGACTCTTTCACAGCAGTTAAGCAATACAAGCGAGAAGTGAAATAAAGAGTAACCTGCGAGTACAGGGTTAAATGAAAATGCTTTTCGAGGCAACAGCTCAGCAAGAGGAAAAAGGCTTGGCTCGCTAAAACTATTCTTCAGTCTTTGTGCGACTTGTTTTCCCAACCACACAGCGATTGGACAGGGGTAGAGGCCATATCCTTCCTGTCGCAGCTTTCCCAAGAGCGTTCTCTCGGCATCCGGTAAGTTTGAATCAGCGCTGGCTGATTAGGGGACAAGGCCCATTTCCTAACCGACGATACCCTGTAAGATGAAACAACAGGCTTTCCGATTTCCATCTCCGGCACGACCTGTTCCACCGCTGTGTACTCATCACTCTCCTCAGCCAGCGGCTGCCGTCGGGACAGGATGCAGCTCGGGGAGCCAAAGAGGCAGCGCCCGCTGCAAGAGCAACGCCCCAAGTTCATTCCGGCCTCGAGGACACAAAAGCGCCCCAGAGGGGAAAAAGCAGAAAGAAAGGGGCTCGGGGATTCTGGGGGGTTGGGTCGGGGGGGGCGAGCGAGCCCAAATCCAGGAGCTGGGAAAGTGACCTCGGAGGTCAAGGTCGAGCAGGTCCCTCTCCCTCCCAGTCCCACCCGCAAGCACCTTTGTCCTCCCGCCCGGAACAGCTGGGCCCTGTCCCGCGGGAGCGCTCGGGAGAGGCTCAAAAGCCCAGGGGCGGCGGGGACCACCGTCCCTTTGGGATGCTGGGGGCGGCGGTGGGTTCCCAGAGAAGTCGCAGGTGAGCGCGGCGGCCCCTCCCTCCGGCGGGAAGGGCTTCGACCCTGGGCACCCAAAGACGGCGCGGCGACAACTTCCGAAGCGCCCGCCAGAGTCCAGGCAGGGCCTGGCCGGGCTCCCGAGTCTCCGGGACCCGTATCCCACTCCCCGCGCGCCGCGCCCAAGTTCTTTCCACTGGGCTGCTCTCGACCCCTGCCCCCGGCGTCTCTCTCCCTCCCCCCATCTCTTCTCCTCAGCGCCTCGGAAAAGTTTGGCCCCGGCCCACCGGCTGGGAGCCCCACACTCACCCGGCGAGGAGCTGAGCCCAAGTGCCCGGGCGCGGGCGCAGAGGGCGGCGGCGCTAGCGCGGAGCTCCTCGCAGCGGGCCCTGCTGCCCCGGCAGCCGACCGAGCTGGAAAAGGGGCGGAGGCCGCCGGGTGTCACCTGCCCGCTCTCCCACCCCGCCGCGTGACGCCGCGGAGCGCCGCCCCCTGACCGCCTGCCGCCGCCGCCGCCGCCAGGTACTCGCGAGGGACCGCGGGGAGGAGCCTCCCTCCCGGGAGGGATCGACCGGGAAGGGCGCGCGGCCTCGGTCGCCCCACCTCCGCCTGGCTCGGCGCCCCGCAGCTCGAAGCGCGGCCGGGACGGGGGACCGAGGACCGCTCGGGGAGATCCAGACTAATTACATTTCTTTCTGAGCACAAATGTCATCACCTGAGGTCATCTCGAGGCTTAACATAAATAGTGTGAAAACTGTCGTCATGCATGACTCAGGATTGAGTTGCAGAAAAATCTGAAATGAGGAAAACCTGGCCCAGGGTGAGGCTGGCGGCGGAGAGGGAGAAAAAAGGGGAGTTCTTGCTCCTGAAAAGGCTATTCGGAGGGTTAATTCATTATCTGAAATGGAGGCCAGACCCAACGGCGGCGAGAGGCCCAATTTGGGTCAGCTCCATCCCCTGCTTATTAAAAACTGGAGAATTGCCGCAAATATTGGGGAGTGAAGGGGGCTTTTAGAGCAATGAAGAGGAAATTGTATATAATCTAAGTTAACTTTTCTGCCCTGGTTAGTAACAGCTGCTGCTGCAGCCAACACACTCTGGCACACTGACTTTTCCTCGTCCACGGCTGGCTTGAGTGGTGGGGTGAGGATGAATGTCAGGCGTGTGTATGCGCGCTCCATTATTTTTTACCTTACCTGGCTTTGTGTTTGATCATGAGCCTCCTAACCGCTCTCATGTTTTGGAATCCTGGCATCAATAGCTGGAGGGCAAAATAAGAGTTACTTGTTACTTACAAAAGAAGTTACTTGTTCAGGAGGCAAAAACCAAGAACTAGAATTGAGTTGTCTTCTAGAAACTGGAAAAATAACCTCAGGGATTGCAGTCCTGGCCCATGCACCTCACAAACCTGGCCTGTGAGTTTGTGCTGTGAGTTTTAAGCATGAAATCACAACAAAAGGGTCCAGACTACCGGGGAGGGAGGGTAGGAAGAACACTCAGTGGGCCACAAGCATGTTTTCCTCACATACAGGTAGTTGCCTACCATCACCTAATCCTACTGCATCAACGAGAGATTTTAAATGTTTTATACGAAATGTTGAGAGCCCCCATAGTAGCCATTCAGGAAAAAAAAGAAAAAGCAAACAACATGAAAGCTCAAATTTAAGAGAATCCCAGCTTCAGTGAAACTAAAGATTTCTCCTTCCTTTTAGATAAACTTTGCTTTCATATTAAAAGCACGTCATTTAGTAGTCTTGGCTACTGGGAACTAGAGACAATTGCTTAACAATATTTGTCTTTGCATTTGTCACTCTCTGCCCATCGATATACAATTATGAAATTTCAAGTATGCAAAAGATCAAATGGATTCATTCATTTAACAAATATATATTCAGTGCTTTTATGTTCCAGGCTCTGAAGATTCAACAGCTAACAAAACAGACCAAAAAAAAAAAAACACCCTCTGTTCTTGTGGAACGTACTTTCATTTACCTTCGTTCTAGTTGGAGATGACAGACCCCAGATGAATAAGCAAGTAAAGTATGAGTGTTCATGTAGTGATAAGTGCTGTGAAGAAAAGTAAAGAAGGAATGGGGATAGGGACTTCTGGAGGTGGGGAGGTGAGGAGTTGCACTGTTAAAGTAGCTAGGGAAGTCCTCAGGTGAAGGAGGCATTTGAGCCAAAATTGTACAGAGATGAGGTGGCAAGCCTGTGTGTCTATCTGGGTAACAGCATTCCAGTCATCGGGAACTGTAAGGCTAACGGCCCAGGGCATGAGCGTGCCCCAGATGATCACGTTCACAGAATGGCAAGGAGGCCAGAGCTGTTGGAGTGGAGTGGAAGGTAATAGCAACAAGATTTCACAAGGATCTGATGTGGGCTGTGAAAGGCGGGACATGAAATGTCAAGGATGACTCCAGGGTGTTTTCCTCTATCAGCTGGAAGGAGAGAGCTGCCATTTACTAAGAAAAGGAAGACTGAGAGAAGACAGTTGGGTGGGGGTTCCCAGGAGTTGTTTGTGGGACTGATTTAATTTAAGATGCCTCTTAGATATCCAAGTGGGAATGTCAAGTAGGAAGTTGGTTATACCAGTCTGGAGTTCAAGAGAGAGGTCTGGCCTGGTGATATAAATTTGGGAGCTTCCACATGATATTTATTTATTCTCTGGTCTGAAAATGGCTAAGAGCACCATGAGTGAGACTAGAGAAGACGTTTCAGAACTTCGTCCTGGGGCACCCCGCTATTAAGCCATCAGGGAATGAGGAGGAATAGTCCTGAGATTTGAGTAAAATCAGGAGAGTGTGGTTTCCTGGAAGGCAAGTGTGTTAGTCAGCTATTGCCACGATAGTTCTGTATAACAAATCACTGCATGGTCAGTGGCTTATAGCAGTATACCTGTTCTCATGCCCACGAGTCAGCAGATTGGTTGCAGTTCAGTAGACCTAGGCTGTGCTCAGCTGGGTGGCTCTGCTTTAGGTTGCAGATTTAGCTTAAGTCTGTCCCATGTGTGTTATTTCTGGAACCCAGATTGAAGAGTCAGCAGCCACCTGGAGAAGATCAACTGGGGTACAAGAGGCAGTCCAAAATCCACATGATTTGTGGGCCTCTGCTCACATTATTGAAGCATGTTTAAGGCCTCTGCTCACATCGGGTTGGCCAATATTTCATTGGCTAGAGTGGGTCACATAGCCAAATCCAACATCAGAGGGGAGTGGGAAGCATATTCAACCTACAGTGGAAGGGTGAGGAGAATGAGTATTTGCTGAACAAGAATCCAAACTTTTATCATAGCAAGGGAAGAAAGTGTTTCAAGGTGAGGGAAGTGATCGCCCAATAAGCTGGGAACCAAAATTGGCCCTTGATTTAGCAATATGGAAGTCTTTGGTTGATCATGACAGAACAGGTTTGGAGAAACAGAAGGAATGAAAACCACCCCATTTGGGTTTTCAGATCTGAACATGCACATTCACCAATAGGCAACAGAGGGAAGGTAGAGTTATGGGCAAAGATTGGGGGGAAGTAGGAGCTTGTGTTGATAGATTGTTTTAGGTCAGATTTCCCAGAAGCAGACCTGAGGCAGAAAGTTGTGTGCAAGTGATTTATTGAGGTCAGTAGGGATCCAAAGGGATCTGGGTGAAATAATAATATTGTTCACTATGCAAATGTTAATATTTTCCAAATTTAGCTTATTTTTATTTTATTATTTTTTTTGCGGTACGCGGGCCTCTCACTGCTGTGGCCTCTCCCATTACGGAGCACAGGCTCCGGACGCGCAGGCCCAGCAGCCATGGCTCACGGGCCCAGCCGCTCCGCAGCATGTGGGATCTTCCCGGACCGGGGCACGAACCCGCGTCCCCTGCATCGGCAGGCGGACTCTCAACCACTGTGCCACCAGAGAAGCCCTGATGTTTTTTTTTAAAGCAATAAAATGTTACACTTAAAGCGCCACCCTATCCTAATCCTTTTCTTTCTCCCAAAGGTATCCTGAAGTAGCTATGTATCATTTCCATGCATGTGTTTATACTTTCATTAGTATATCTATCTCAATATATACTGTAATTTTGTATACGGTTAAATTTTATGGAAATAGTATCATACTGTATGTATTCTTCTACAACTTTGTTTTTTACTCATGTTGATTCATGTAGCTCACTCATTTAAATACTATAGAGTATTCTATTGTATAACTAAACCATTTATTCATTTGCCTTCTAATGAACAAAATTGGGTTAGTTCTAATTTTTCCCTCTGGAGACAATGTGTCAAGGAATATACAAGCAACTATTTTCTTGTACACATGGAGAAAAAGTTCTAGGGTTTATACTTACAAATGGAACTGCTGGTCATGGAATAGATTGTTCTCTTCTACGGACATTTGCTGTTTTTTGGCTGCCCTGTATCTGAATCCTCTGTCTATATTTGAGGAAGTTCCTATTATGACTTCATAGAGGCAGAGCTCACCTCCCGTTAAAGAAGCTGAAAACGCATGATACTCACTTTGCCACCCGCTTGGGCAGCTAGAGCTCACAGTTGCCGCAACTCCCTGACAACCCTCCTCCCAGGATTCTGAAATTGAAGCTAGAGACACAAGAAGTTGTGTTTGCTAGTGGCATGGGTGGCTTCCCAGACTGATTCACTGGCATAAATTTAGCTCTAGTTTGTCGGCAAAGCTTGACTTTGTTCCTACATTTTCCAAGCCTATTATCCAGCGTTTGTGGAGATTCTGTAAGCTCTCAATATTTTTCAATAAACACCTTTTATGTTTAACTTACTTTGTTTCTATTTCTTGCAGCTGAGGACCCTGACTGACAGACTCTCCTTGACTGATAGACTTTGCTAAGTGGTGCCAATTTACACTAGCACCACGTTGTATTAATAGTTCCCGTTTCCCTAAATCCTTGCCAACATTTGATGTTTTCAGACCTTATATTTTTCCCAGTCAGATGGGTGTGAAATGATTTCTCACTGTTTTTTCTTTTTTGTTGTTGTTCCTTTTTTTTTTTTTTTTGATGTGGACCATTTTTAAAGTCTTTATTGAATTTGTTATAATATTGCTTCTGTTTTATGTTTTGGTTTTTTGGCCACGAGATATGTGGGATCTTAGCTCCCTGACCAGGGATTGAACCCAAACTCCCTGCATTGGCGAAGTCTTAACCGTTGGACTGCCAGGGAAGTCCCCTCACATTTTTTGTTTGTTTGTTTGTTTTTGGATATTAAATTGCATTCAGTTTAAAGTATCTTGGAAGAATGTTAACTCTTTTATTTTTGGTCTGGACATAGAGGCACACTGCACATTAATTCAAATCACAGATGATACTAAATTGGGTGATGATATGAACACCCAGAGAACACAAACAGACAATAAAAAGAGATCCACAATGAAATAACCAAACAATGTTCACACTTCTTAATGCTATTTT